AAAGCAACTCACTGTATCTATGTTCATAGATATGAAGTCGCTGCCAGATTCCAGCCTGACAGGGTTGGGACAACGTGTACGGGTGGTCGTCTCCTAGCTTAGGACAGCGGCACCGCGCCCGTCATCCGCTGTACAGCTGGGGAAAGCGGAACAACCTCGCGATTGCGGACTACACCACTTCTACAACATAAGGATTCTACTTGTATAGTAGTCGGGAAGAAGCCTTCGAGCGAACGAACTCCGATGTCTAAATAGTCAAGGCAATGTCACGATCGTATACAAAAAGCTCGGTCGGCAATGTCAGACGTTAGACGTTGAAGGGACGCTCTGCTTCAAAAACGGCGATTGGTGCGGTCCAAATACCAGTGATATTGAGATAAATAGCACAAAAATGAAATAAGCACTAAAATTCGCTTGTAATGGCCCGTGTAGAACCCCATGCTGAACCGCGCTTGTAGTGCATAAGGCGAATAAAATCCATGGTTCTCGCGCCAAATTCTCGCTTGTTTGTGCCTTTTCTTTCTTGTTATCACCTCACTCTCATCATTCGAAATACAGAGTTAGTAGCGGAACAACCGCACCACTGAGCAGCTAAAAATAAGAACTGGGCGTCGCCGTGGCCAATGGGCGGAGCCGTGAATTCATCGCGAGCGAAGCGCTCTCTTCAAGTATTTTCAATCTGTGAACATAGTACATCCTCTATGCATGTAGTCAGAGGCACCATGTCATAAGAAGGCATCTGAACATCAAATGAACGCGAGGGCTTGCCTTTAAGGACTTCTACTTACAGAGCGACAAAGGTGACATATAGCCGCTATGAGCTGAAGGAACTCCGCCTGTGCAAGCTGCTTCACCTATTCCGAGAACGAGGTATACCCAGGGCACGCCATCGCGGGGGGAAGGTCGTCAGAATTAAACTATTTTCAAGCGTCGGAATAGTAGTGCGTCCGTGAACTGACCAAGTACGACCCCCCCTTACAGCGTCCGTGAAACAAGAGAAATCAACTATCAAAAAAATTTTCTCTGACCAAATACGACCCCCCCTCCCTCGCTCCCACCTTGTGCTGATCACAACGATGGCGTACCCTGGGAATACCAGCGATTTCAAGCAACGTCTGACGGATTGCCGTCCATTCTGTATGTGAACAAGCTTGTCTCGCTCCTCTTCTTGTCCTCTCATCCTTTGCCTCTCTTGGCCCTCACCTGTGCAGTAGGGTCTCGCTTCTAAACACTTCTCCACTGTCGGTGTCTCACTTATCGCGTCCTAGACAGAAAAAAACTTCCACCCTTTGTAAGTAAATCAGTGTTTAAAATCCACAATTCGTTCCCATAGTCTCGGACTGTCCGGAATGCCTTCCTAATTCATGATGCAAGTTTCCATGACAAAAATAAAGATAAAAATAAGGGCCACATTTTGATGGATAGCCATTTCTTCCACTCTATGAGACCTACAAAACCCTAACAGAGTCAATTTATCAAAAAATGTCATGTTACAAAATATCATCGAAATAGTACAAGGTTATACTGTGGTCAAGCAGGAAAATAGGGCTAAAAATTTCAAAACAATATTATCAGTGAATTATGTGAGTTGACACGGTGAACGCCGTAAGATCAATGAATAACGACCAACATCCTGTTAGAAAAATGAATTTTGGAACATGCGAATAACCAGGGAGAAATTCATCCATCTATAGAACGGGCACTGAAATGGCAATGCATACGGCGTTCAATGGATTAAGTTACTCTTATGCCAACAGATACAGTGTGTTACATGGATGACAAGGTTCATTGAGTAATATTGGCAAAAATGTTAATCTTATCACAAATACAGTTATTTCGATTCACTACAGAGTACAGTTTAGTAGAGAACAGATGAAGTTGAATAAAAAACAGCTAAAACGTGGTTTCAAAAGTTTATTGATGCTAGTAAACGGGGCGAGGCATCATCGTTCAAACGTGGGAGCAATGTCGGTCAAATACAAGTATACTCCCTTTAAACTAGTTCAACACCCCCCCCCCTAAGCTCCTCCTCGCACCCCTTAGGTTTGGGCGGAACAACCGTTGCGGAACCTCCTTTAGAAAGAACCCCCGCTGCGGAACTCCCCACAAAGTCTCGTAGATGTCCCTCCCCCACATTCAGCAGTGTCTTATCAGGGCACCTTGTACAGACCCGTAATATCCTGTAACCAAAGTGGCTCACTACTACCGTATCACAGCATTACAGGACTTTACAGGTCTCACCAAGATGTAACTTGTTGGTTAACATCTGCTAGCAAAAGGAACATCGAAAGTGCAAAGAATCCCTCCCAAGTCGGACTATGCTCAACAATTTTGGGTGAACATCCGAGGGGGGGGGACAGGAGTCATAAGGTGAAGCTGAAAGGAAAAATTCGACCCTAGGGTTTTTTCTTCAAATCTACAGGATAGCTAGGATTGGTTCTTTCCCTCTTCCATTTGAAGAGGAGAGCGATTCTGAATGTCTTGAAGGCTTAGTGCCAAGATGTCACACCTTACTGGATTGCATTCAATGAGCTTATTATACAGTTGTGAAAGAAGTGAATTAGCTTAGAATTATAAATAGTAGAAGAATTATAAACAACAGGATTAACTCATGAATAGAACTCAAAGTAATCTTCTGACGATCTACCATCCCTGAAGCTTTCTCACCAAATGCAAATCGTCCGGTTTCACAGTGACACGTTTCGCGTGAATAGCGCACGTGTTGGCATCATCGAACATTCGAACCAGATGTGCTTCGGATGCCTATAAATAATATCATATTTCAGAGCTTCAAATTACCATCGGGACTCACTAAGTCTCATTAGGCGCTACAACTTTGTTGACGGGTAAGAAGGATGTACAAATTGACTAGAAATTGATAGACTGTTACTTCGGAAGTAAAAAAGGATAGAAAGAAAGGGCGTATGATGACTAAAAGCCTGGTTCGGGTTTCTTATCTCGACAAAACAGAATGGCTGTAATTTGCAGTAATTGTACTGGACAAGGGATAGCAATGCCAATCAAATGTCTCTATTTACCCTTTGCAGTCCTACCCTCTTTCGAGCCGTACCTAAATCTCGGAGATGGTTCGACTTCCTGAGCATGAATATCGGTGTAGAGTCTGCATACAGGCGCCAGCGCCTAGCGCTTTCGCACTAAACCTATGCGATGGCCTGGTTCAGGGAACCAAACCACCCCTGTAGAAAAGTTTTCAGCGAGTTCAGTGAGATTTGGTCACCTGGTGTAGATACCCAACTATGACTGTGTCGGTGTAGAAAGGCACGTTCCGCGATAAACCAAGGTAAGCCAAAAACCTCTCAAATGTGCCAGATGATCCAGCAGGCGATTTTGGAGGCTGTGCTTCATTCAAAAAGTGGAAATTTGCAAGAATTGCGGTGGAAGCTGAGCGTGTAGGCCCAAAAATGCTTTAGGCCTATGGCGACCTCCCCCGTGACTGCTAGCTACTAGCTAGAAAATAAATGACATCATTATGATAAAAACGAAGTTCGTACAATCATGCCTTCTCTTCACTGTGACACGTAAGATGGGACCGGCATGGAGTCCTATATTGGGCGTTTCGGACGGTTTTTCCGCTTTCTTCGCCGTTTGTCAGTTACCCAGCTCTTTGTCGCTCCATTACCCACCATCTTGGTGGCGGCATTTGTCTATAAGGAATTTTGACGTCGACATCTGCGGCGCGGCGCCCAGCGGTTCCGGTCCAAGCAGATGTGATACTAGCGTTCAAAAGATATAGCTACCATAGGAGGCAAATTTCTAGACAATTCCGCCCTCAGGGACAAAGTGTCAGAAAATTGACTAGATTTCGGAAGATTGAGGCACTAAAGGTTAGATAGTGCCCAATATTCTCCTATGTTTATTTTGTTTACATGAAAGCGAGTTTGGTGACTGTTTTTTTTTCGAGTCCGCCTTCGATACATTCATTCATTCATGCATTCGATTCACTTTGGACGCTATCACAAAAAAAACCCCAGTTGAAAGTGATACTGAATTTTGTAAACACAGACTCAGTAAGAAAAACTCAGGAAGAAAAAAACACAAGAACGTTAGCGACCCGGTTGGAAGGAAGATAAAAGAGGCATTGGAAATACGACAAAGGCGCCCTCCAATCAACAACAGGGAGGAACTGCGAGCAAGTGTGGAGATCATCACTGCACTATAGGATGTGACTGAATGACCATTACGTGACATATGGTGACTTGGAGGATATCAGACGACATCACTCTTACCCTCCCCACCACCGATCTAGCTGCTTCATTTCTGCAAGAGTGGACAGCTAGATAGGTGAGTCCTCGCCATATGCCTTCCCCTTCCCCCTCCCGCGTCCATCCAATAGTACTTGCAGTGATTCACGTGGCTCCCGGGAAGAACCCGTTCCCTGGACCAAAACCACTTGCTTTGCTATTCGGTTAGTCGCATATTTCGTATCGCCAATAGTTTCTTGTTCAATTTAGCTAGAAGTGATGCCTAAGTGTGATCGGTAGATATTATATTGTATATATTGTAGGCCTGAAGAAGGGCTTAAGGCCCGAAACGTTGCTAAATAAATATCTTGAAGAGTTTCATTCAACAAGAAAACACAGAAGATATTAAACCATGAAACTCAGGAATCCTATGATACTATCAGAACTGAATTTTGTGTAAAAGTTCGTCGGATAAATCGGAATTTTGCATGAGCGGCTTGATATTCGAGATTTGAGCTTTGTTTTCGTACGGTTTCTTTGTTTTTTTTTCTTTCTAGTGCATTCAGCGCTGAATGGACGTAGAAACGAGTGAGCCTACAAGGTGAGGATTTCCCGCATAACCTGGGAGAAGTGGGTGAACCACCTAACCCACCCGGAACTACCTTTTACAGTGAAAGAAAGATGATTGTGAGTGTTTACAAGTGCCACCAGCACACGGGGGGGGGGGGAGTTGCAGGTGCCAAATATACCCGCACGATCAAAATCTTTTGCAACTTCTGATATTTGAAAACCCTCATCCTACCTCGTATACCCCAGCAATAATCCAGTGATACTAATCACTAACCAAAGTAGAACCATCCATCCTAACTTCTTACGGAACATCAAACATACCTCTTGCAATGCACATAACGATTCAATCGTGAAACGATATCCGCCCTCAGGATACAGCTGTTGCACCACTTCCCGAATAACACGTTGAACTGGCAGCTATAACTACAACTCAATGATAATCGAACGAAATGAGATTGAGCCTACAGCACCTTCTGGATCAGGGGACCAACAGACTTTTGATACCGTCTGATTTCCTTCAAAGCCAGAGCTCCTGGTCGATGACGGCGCTTAAATGGTCCTTTAGCCAGGGATTTTGCACCAAATCTCGGCGCACCACCTTAATAGAAAAGATACTAGAACAAGGACATATGTGGCATCTAACGATGACGCAAACAAGTTATCCGAAAAGGTTCCCGTACAAAATCGGAAAAAGTGAACACCAATCTCACCTGAACGTCGCGGGAGACCAGCTGGTATTGCTTTGTCGTCTACCCAACCCGAAGCACGGTGATCACTCCTGGTCTCTGACATATCACGACCACGATATAACATGGTTTTACTTCCTCCAGGACGAGAAGATCCAGCGCGATCCAGCATTCTGTGAAAATATTGCAATTAGGTTGTTGACGGATATACAGCAAAATTTCAAAAAAGAAAAAAAGTCACTTTGACCAAGTCACATATCAACGAAGTTTTCGCAGCCCAGACAGGGGAAGTGGATATGAGTACCAGAGTGGAAGATACCCAAGATCTTCCTCTATAAGCTGGAGCAGGCTGCCGCCAATCGCCTTCATGTACGCCAAAATATGAAGTCATCTCCAGTCGCGGCCTGACTGGAGAACACCTTTGGAATTCACGTCGCCTCCAAACAGCTGCGAAACTTCTTGAATGAAGTCATCCACAGATAGCTACCTGGAGGTCAGTACTCTTGATCTGCAAGACCTCCCACATCGAGCAGCTTCCTCAACTTCGCTACGGTCTAGGACATCATCTTCACCGTGTTCGCCGAGGCGCGAGTTGATGGTATGGACCGGGTTACCTGGAAAGGGGAAGACCGATATTTTCTTTGTAGACCCCGACTGAAGGTGAGCGCTGGCGGTTACATCAAGTAACTCGAGAAGAATATCCTCCCTACATGTGGTCGCCCGTACCTTCTTGGAGACCTTGTGCTGCTACAGGTTTGGGTGCCACCACATGGAATCAAAGGGTTTTGGAAAAACTCCCGCTTACTTCGAATGGAAGGGCGTTTCGTATCTGAAGAAGATGTAATATTGAAGTATGTCCCCTGACCTGAACCCACTCAATTACCTAGCTCGGGCGGACTTCAAGAGGGTGGTCTACGGTGGCGGAGAAATCGACTACTTCGCTGATCTCAGGTACCACATCGCGGTCGCGTGCCAGAATCTCTCGATGGCGTTCGTCCAGAAGGCTGTGGCGGAGTGTCGTGATAGTACTTAATGTGCTCTTCAATATGGTAGTAAAAATGTCCGATCAGAATTTGATAAAGTGTAATTTATAGCGCCTCGAAAGTCAATGAGGCAAAGTGACTTTTTTTTTGGCCACCCCTGTACACGCAAAAATGCCCAGCCCAAAGAGAAACGGCGCATAAGAACAGGCGTAAGACACTCACATGGTTGGCTGCATATTATTTGCCCAAGTTGATCCTTTCTCTCTCTCTCTGAGAATCTTTACTTCCTCCTAGAGATCCTTTTCGTTTGATACGATCCGCACCTCTGCTCAGAGTAGTGAGCAGAGTCGAACAGATTGTACTTACCAACCTGACCCTCAACGGTACTCCTGAATACCAGGTCCACTGTTGTGTTTCGGAGCCATGGTTTCCCAAGAAAAAGCAAAAGCGGAACATCCACACCGTCTTCACGACCGCTCAAAAGGCGTTTCCTCATAGAAATGATGTATAGGCGTCCCTTGTACGAGTAGCCCCACTAGCACGAAGAATATACCATGAGCTGTCTGCTATACTTCCCTTCAACAAGGTATTCCGAATGACGTTTCATTTCACGATACCCACCTTTTATCAAAAGCATCGAATCGGTCTGGATGAGACAGCGGAATGCTAGTTTCTCTTTCGCGCATCTCGGGAACCGAAGAATCACGAAGCCTTAAAACTTATGAGCTTATTAACAAGTTGACAAATGATCGACTCTATTCACAGAAAAGCGAACAAACTAGATGATATGATTTTTTTACGTTTCTATGGGAGCCTCCGGTCTATCAGTCATGTACTCGTTGACCTGCCTTCTCACATTCCTGCAAAGACAAATCTATTTTTTAGTGAATTCTCTGAAAACCCTTGTAAAAAAAGCGCCCTTTACCAAAAGGAAGGCAATGTTAAGCGCTAACGAGCCCGACAAACATCACAGTTATTTGTGTTTAATTCTTTTGTGCCTGCGAGGTTGTTAGGTGGAACTGTTTATTACGGCCTAACGTTTCGACCAGATCGTCGTCCTCGGAGGCCAAGTCCACCGCAGGAGCGCAAGTAGCCGCCCAGTCAGTTGTTAGCAGTATACAAATAAAAACAAATGTTAATAGAATAGTATATAAATACTACTAACAACTGACTGGGCGGCTTCTTCCGCTCCCGCGGTGGACTTGGCCTCCGAGGACGACGATCTGGTCGAAACGTTAGGCCGTTAATAAACAGTTCCACCTAACAACCTCGCAGGCACAAAAGAATTACACACAATTAACAACGATGCCGAGGTTCTACGAAGAGAGAAAATGGAGACTATTAGCAAACATCACAGCACTGCTTGAATTCGGAGAGATGCTCACCGATATTTTTGTCTTGAGCCGCTTTCATGCATCCTCGAATATGATGGATCCACGTTTTCGCTATCGCCGTATCGTCTGCTGCAAATTGGAGTATGAATTTCTTTGATGAGGAAAACTTTCATCTCTCCTGCCCGGAAAAAAGGACACCATTGTCTACCCAAGCCTGCATAGCCCTGCATAATCCATAAACGTACTCATGTTGCTGTATATAGCCGTATTCAATATACTGCTGACTATTATTTGATTAAACGCCCTATTGTGAGAAGTCAGGGAAAAACTTTGCCAGTTTGTGGGCGATCAGGGCAGGTCCCATTCGAAGATCTCCAGCGAGTGGGTTCGCACTTGCCTTTGATTTATCGATCTATCCTGCTTCGCGTCCGCTATTCCTCAGCTGCCCTCGCTCGGCAGCGGTTCCTTGGGAACAAACTGGAAAACTATAAAAACCTCCGAAAAAATGGTAGTATGTTAGGAGAGTTTAACATGGTAGGTAATATGGGGGATCGGGAAGGGGGTCGTACCAAACGAAGCATTGAATATTTTGCAAAATTTTCCCCTCACCCGCAAGGTGCCCTAGCTTGATACTGCGCGCCTCGGAATGCTGAATTACACGTGATTAAATCCCGCTCTTTCGCAGGCCATCTGAGGATGGGAAGAGATTGATTTACGACCTCACAGAGGCAATATTTTTCACTACATTGATGACTTCAAAAATTGAAGACACAGTGGTCATCGGTTTCGAGCATTCATGACGATGAGACACCGAACATGCAAAGAAAAAAAGACGGCGAAAGGGCGAGATTGCTTAGCGACATGCGAGGTCCCAATGATTACGAAATGGAATGAACAGGAAGGAGCATGAGCTCCGAGCTCGCGGAGCCTGGTTACCGTGAGCAGACGTCACACAAATGTAGCTCATCTGCTAGGGTTGGGAACCGGATCACCTCAGGCACAAGAAGAACCCCGCACATGCGAACAAGTTCTGTATTTGAGCAGGTAAACGATCACTTTGTAACAGACATCCCACCTTCTATTATCCGTTGGTTTTGCATAACTTGGTTCAGTCATATACTCGTTCGGATCGTCGTAATTTTGTGAGAAGCTCGGATCCATGTGTCGACGACTGTACTGCTCTCTAAATTGAGGTATAATCGCTTGGTCCAAAACCAAATACCTACCGTATCCAGGTCTGCACTAATCGATAGTTATTCTTGCGCATTATACAAAAACTAGAATTTATCTAGCAGTAAACTAACTTCGGCTTCGAACGACTGCTGTAATCGCGTTCATTTGTCATATATTCGTTTCTAGTTCCATCCATTCTCGAACGTGACATATTCGTGCTGCTTTGTCCTCCAAATCGCTTGCTTAAACTTTAAAATAATAATCGACCGCAACACTTATAGTTCCGCAGCATTTTCATAGGCCCGCTCATACTTCGCGACGCCGGAGGAGAACTGGACGATGAGCGCCAATGGACCAAATGGGAATAGACCGACCTCGCCCAGCAGCGGGTTGGGAGCAGGGCAGGAAATCATTGTGATGATCACAACGGGAGGAGGGGTCGCATTTGACGGCGAAGAAGGGAGGGGGGTGGAGCGGGTCGCATTTGGTCTGAGAAAAATTTTTTTGACTGCTGATTTCTCTTGTTTCACGGACGCTGTAAGGGGGGGGAAGGGGGTCGTATTTGTCGTTGTTCGGAGAGGGACTGTAAAAGATGTGGAAAGATGTATACAACTACTATTTTCGATAGCTGAAAATGATAGTTAAATCCTGACGATCTCCTCCTCCACACCCCGCCCCTCGCGAGTTTGAAATCTAGGTAAAGGTGTTGGTAGCATGGGGAGGGACGGTATATTAGAATGGAATTAGGGGGTCGTTTTTCAGGAAATGATCACAACGCGATGGCGTGCCTGGTTGGGAGAATCATAAAACATGCGAGCCTGAGTCGATCGATCCCCATCTAATGCTCTGGCTCCCATTATTCTTGAGTTGCGAAATGTGAGAGCGGCTTGTGTACGACTCACCTCTGGTTAGCAGGTCTCGCGTAGCTTGGCTCCTCAGTCATGTACTCGTTCGGGCCGTCGTAATGGCGCCAGAAATTTGGCTTTGCTCGCTGGCGATTCTGTGGCTCACTGAAACAAAATAACTTCAGATTTCAACCTGCAACAAAAGAATACATGATGTCAATTGTCGGAAGTGCCAAGCAGTCTTCCAAATAGATCTAACGTTCTTTCTGACAGTAGTTGACAAACGGATGAATTTTTCACCGCTGATTAATCCCCATGGGAAGCAAAATGCATTTTACCATTCAAGAGTCGTAGTGGCCTAGTAAATTCGTTACGGCCAGTACGTTGACCTTGCGGGGATCAGCCGAAGGTACAAATGTGGTTTTATCCTTCTAGACGAACTTGGTACCGATAGCGCCTCCAAAAGGTAGAGCTTGGTTGGCCGGATGGGAGTCGATCGGGGACCTGACTCCGGACCACGTAATGAGCCATTTCCGCTACATCCCCTCCCTTCTTTCACTAATGCTGCACAAAATAGAAGAAAATACATCTAAAATATTGTAATGGGCGCTGTTCGGCTTGGTAGGATCACCAGATGCTTTTCAGCTATTTGGACAGGTCCCTTTGAAGATCTGCAAATTACTATGACCAAAGTGGCTAACTCAAACAATTTCGCACTTTCCAGAAACTTGCAGGTTGATCGAGGTGATCTAACAAAAAGAGCTATCGTAAGGGCAAAATGGCCCCTGCAAGCCGAACAGCTGAACAACGCCGTGTGATATAGATAAGATAAAAACAAAAAAAGATATAAAATGGTGGTGTTATGACGAACGGGATGAATCATACTTCCATAAAAGGTACAGTGAACATTTAGCCAAGGCAGAAATAGCCTCCTATCTGTGGCTCCACCATGAGCCTACCACCAGGTAACGTTTTCACGGTTATTGCGATACCGTTCTTTTACTGCCTCGGCGTGACCCACATAGGCAAAAGCAATAACAAACGGTCTACCAGAAAAGATGAAACTATCAAAAGCGGCAACGACATCCTGGTACGTCTACACAGCGTCACCCACCGCTACAGAGGAAAACTGATGTGGAAAACTTCCTAAACCACGTCAGGAAAAACTTACTAGGTGTCGCGATCATCCTGCCTGATGGGCGACTGGGGATACTCCACGTTATATTGAGGTCGTGGTGGTTCATCGTGTCTACGGTCACGTACATAACGTTGATCATCCCTGGAATACAGCATTACAGGAATCAAAAGAACATGACCCATACAGTCACACACAAAATTTGGTCGGTGGTGCCTGCGAAATTATTTCCCGAAGTTTACGAAACCGTTTATGAAGCTTCGCAATGCGGCTTCATTTTCACACGATTTCTTCGGAGTTCCTCCTCATGCTGGACGACGTCCGGCGCTTTACGGTGGAAAGAAGCAGTTGTGAGCCAGAGGGATTAGTAATTACGTAAGCCAAGGAAAGAAAACCGGGGCAGGTGGACCATTCCTCATGAAAAAAAACAAAGGGTTCTCGCACACGTGAGTTGTTGAGCGCTTATCCTGGGGTCAGCGGCTCCTTCGCACCTCCACCTTTTCTGCGCATTGTGCTTATTGCCATATACTATGAGGCCGCACGAAACAACTTCGTAGCTTAACAAGAGTTCATAGGGTGGAAAAATAACACGCTCTCAGGACTCTGCAGAACAGTCTGGTATGCTAGCAGGAATTCACCGCAGTGTCTATGGAGTTATCAAATCCATGCTACACCCCCATATAAAGGAGAATAAGATTTATGGGCTAAATTCCGCGACAGAGGATAGGGGCATTTTGCTGCCTCCCATTGTCGTGTTTACTGCTTTAGAGCATAAAGTAATTCTTTCCAAAAGCCAACAACCAGTCCTTCTACAATCTTTGAACATTACATTAA